CTACAGATATTGCAGATATTATTATAGTTTTATTATTGTAGTTACTAACTTGTAAATAATCTAAATTTAGAAGTTTTAATTGTGAGTGATAGATGTAGCTCAAAGTAGACTCAAATGTATTTCAGTAAACGGAAGTATTGTTTGTTTAAAACTTCATTTCGGATTCAGTTTCCATTAGATCGAACTTCATAGACTTTTACATGATAAATTGTTAATTAAGCTACGAGTATGCTATAAAAGCCCTCCATTCTAAAGGTATCAGCTCGTTTATAAAAGTTGGTTATTATTTGGAAAGACAAGAAACTTTCATAAGGGTCCGCAGCATAAAGGTATCCGCATTCTTATTCATTTCATTTTCTGACTTGTAAAAACAACATTCAAATTAAAGCAATTTACAACAACATGAGCAGAAATATTTATGGCATTTGAAACACTTTTGTAAATGGAAGTAGATGTCTATGGCCAACAATTATGAAAGTAAAGGGAGGGTAAGGACTTTTATGTTCACAGTGAATAAGCAATGGAAAACAAATATGTATTTAAGCTCTAAATATTGACTGAAAGATCTTAAGTGTTGATCTAAATTATTTAATACAAATGTTCCATTATCTAAGGAAAGTATAGAACGCTTAGCGCATTAACTTAATGCCCTCTTGTAAGAATAACAGTTGCAAAGCACAGTATCTCTCAAGAATCTATCACTCAGGAATCTTCCATATCTAATCATCTCTACGTTGCATCTAAAACTGAAAATATTAATATTGCTGTTATTGTTAAAAATAATGAAATGAAATTAAAGGAAATATTCAGTAGTATCCAGTTTGTTAAGATTAGAGTAGAAATTCATATAGTAGTGAAAAAAATTCTTATTTTAATAGTCAGTAATTTCCAAATTTTTACTTCAAGTCTCACACAACTAACTGTTTGAGTGCAACAGCATAATGCATAAACATTCGACGGGGTGGAGATAGAAAAAATGAAGAAACAAGGGCAATAAACCAGCCATCTATGGCATTAAAACAGAAGCGGGTGTCTGTATTAAAACGCGTTCCCCAAAATGATCATTATTATCTCCTGATACTTGAATTTATTACTATTTCTCGAATTTCTTTATGGGTACGGAACAGCAATGAAATATTCTTTTGATTCTTTGAATGCATACGAAGACGAAAAGAATGATTTTGCTTTTCGAGTACAAAAATTATTAACGATTTTCTATTATTATTTAAATTCAAGAATATTTGCCATTCTTCAAAACTGTTTTTGTGTTGACATTCAAAACCCGGATCTTGTACTTCACACATTTTTTCCCTTTCTTTTCACAATATTAAAACTTTCACGAAAGACTTAGATGTGTCGAATAAGGAAGTAAATTATTCCAGACAGAGTCACTGTATGACACATTATGTAAGATTTGAGAGTGTTTGTGGTAAGTTTTTGTTCCGTTGGTTGTAGTGGCAAAAGTATATGTCACATGTTGTGAAAAAGATGAATATAGTGACAACTTATCTCAGGACAAGATCAAGGTCTACAGCCCGTCGCGACGAGAGAGTGGCAAACACGTGAAAACAGATTTAATTCTTGCTTTATTGAATACTTCTAATTTTGAAGAGATATTCCTTTTTTTAATCCGTTGTGTCACATGGCGATATGAGGCCTCCTCACTCAGAGAAATAAGTAGACCAATGCTTCCACAGAGCCCTTCGAAGGCGTGGTATATTGCAGCTCAATCACATGCAGATGCTCCTCATCGGGATCAAATCGGTTGCCGGGCGAAAACGCCAAGCCCGGGAAGGAAGAGATCAGCTAAAATTTTGTAGCTACAGCATCAGAAAGAAAGTAAACTCGCTTCGTTCATACACACAGGGAGACCAAGAAAGTTTGCACGATAAATTCCAAAAGTTTGCATTTCACCCCACTCTTATCGCCTTTTTCCACGCACCATCTCCATCTCGCACCTTCACAATCTCCTACTCCTAAGGTGGACGAAATTACCGGTTTTAATAAAGTTTCACAGTTAAGTTTTGCATCCAATTGAAAAAAATCTAGCGTCAGAAGGCAACCAATCTAAAAAATACCTTCAGCTACAGAGGCAAACAGAAGTGAAGTGGCTAGCTGTTTGATGCAATTCTTTCCTCCGCTTACAACAGTTGTCTGATGAAATCTGTTCCTCAGCTTACAACACAAGTTGGCGAAAAAAGAGAAACTGTCCCCAATGGAATCTGACGCAAACATCTAAATATTGCCATAACGTTGTAAATAATTAATTCAATGTGACCTCGTCACAGTGTTGGTTTTTGTAACCCTTACATGTAGCTCTGTGGGTTCTAATCACTAGGTACCACAGATTAACTTTCACGAGTTATCGTGACAGAAGAAATATGTATAGGTTCTTGCAGAAATCATCGAACAATCATCGATAATATTAAACTTGTAACTTCAATGAATCTCGACTTAAAAAGTAACATAAAAGTACTGTTAATAGTCCACCTGACTATGCTAAAATTCACATTTCAGTTTTACTGTACAAGGAACCACAGTTCTAGTGTTAACGTGCTAAGCGTTAAACCGTACAGTTTGGGACAGGATTACACTGGATTCAGCTAGACTGGCTAAGATTTGAACATCAATAATCATCAGCTGCTACTTTGTCGGGGCTCCATTCTGCGGCTTGCTTAGGCAAAACTAGACTCCCGACTCGGAATGACGTTCTTAAGATCAAAAAAATTTCAACTGACAGCGTCAGACGTCTATCCAGTTCTATTTAACAAACTTATACTCCTACGCTCGTCTCAAAAGTCTACATAACCATTTGCGTGACATTTGGAGAGAAAGATCTGCGTGATTAAGTCAGAAGTAAGAGAACAGATGCAAATTATAAACTCAACTTGTTAGTTACAGTTTCATGTACAGTTAGTCTTGTTAGCACAGTTTCATAATAAAATAGTAGAATGATTAAATACTGCAATCCATTTTCAAATTTTTAATTCTGGTGTTAGATACAGATAACGAAGAAAACTCATTATGAGCAAACGTGAGTTATCTCCAAGCTTTGTGTAAAAGTTACCGAATAATAATTTTCATTTTTCATTGCATTTAAAATCTCGAATGGATTTGGATTTACTAGATAATGGTATAGCACAATAAAACTATCTAGGAGGATTGGTAACTTCCTGTAAAACTTTCTTAGATAATTCTATTCATGCTGAAAATCACAAAAACTGTAGAAATGCTTATGTAGTTAGACCGTTCGAAGGGAATTAACTCTAGGTGGATAGGTTAGAATATCTGAATATGATGAAGCACATGGGAGATATCTACCTAGGACAGAGAATCTTTCGTGGAGGACTTAGAACTCGCTGGTCTTTAAGGTACACATTGGGATAACTGCCCATGCAGCCAGCCTGTTCTCCTGGAAAGAACCTAAGTCGAACTGCCAGTATACAGCGGTTTCACTAGCTCAGCGTCTGGCAGGTTGATGTCGAGTTGAACTAAAAAGGATCTGCGATTTTATCTGCTCGCCCACAGGTAGGCCATTTCGAAATCCGAAAAATATCTGACTATTTTAAAGAGTGTTTAAGAATGGAAAGAAAACGCATTTGCCTAGTTAAAAAAGTATATTTGAAACTACTCGTCCCGAGCACTATAATGGTTAATGTTCGTGGCTGCTATATCGTTGGTCTTGGGTTGGAATCTTGCAAAAACCGTAGATTTTTGTAAGTGTACATTTTCTGCGTGACATGGGAGCACTCAAAATACACGGTATAAAAGAGTGGGAAAGAAACTTTTGGACCATCTTGTGGAGTGTTTTCCATCAAAACAAGAGTGGAGCTTAATGGCTAGAGTGGAAGCTACAACTGTACGAGCAATGGTGAATTTCTGGCGTTTCTACTCACTTATGCTTTTACCTATTTAAAACTGTGTACTGCCAAAATAATGTCATATTTATATTTACGAATATAAACGATTTAATAATTCAATTTTAATAAAATATATATTTAGAAGTATTTTTTTAAAATAAATTATATTAAATATATTACAAAATCTATTACCAGACACTCTTAGGTATTGTCTAATAAACCAATTATAAATGACCTATTAAAATGGCCAATTTAACATTGTCAGCATAGGGGTTTCTGATACCCTTTAATTGTTGAATGGTTAAAAAAGTACAAAATGTATTTGATAGATTATGGCAAAAAAGTAAGGTTATCTGCCTAGATAGAAGGATATCTGGAAGATTTTCCGAGGGAAACTGATTCGTATGACGTAACACACCAAGAAAACAACAACAGCAACGACAAACTGCAGCCGGCTCTTTCGCTAAAGTCTGATGGCCCACTGTGTTTAGCGGTTTTATTTTCTTGCCGGCAGACAGGGAAAATACAGAAAACCAGATCATTAATCTCATTATCTTTAGAAAAAACTGAGAATAATTAGAAGAGATTGTTGAGAACACTGTTTGATGGTTTAACATGAGAGTTTTCTTTTGACTCCTATTTGCTACTGAATGCTTAGTATACGAATACCATTTTAAATTCGAAAGAGATAAAGACTACTCATAAATCTATAAAATAATTTTGGCTCTCCTAAAAATTGTTATTTATGAGTTATTATCGTTAGAATGTTCTAGACATTTCATCCTTTATGAAGATAACTCTATCGTGCTTTATTATTCTACGAATATTTCAGGTCTAATTAGTTAATTATCATGTAATTAAATTATATTTCTTCTTTTGTAAAGAATCCGATGGAGCGCATAGCGAGAACAGTAACATTAATAACATAGGTATTCTAAAGGAATATTACTACAGTTTCAGAAAACAATAATAATGAACGAATTTACAATTATTTTCTTTCTTATATGGTGCGAAATAGCTACGGATTGATTTAAAATTATTTATTATAAATTTTGTACGATTTGTGGAGACGTTTTCATCAAAGTGGGAATATTAGTTGTTTGCAATTTAAATAATCTAATTATTTATCACTATTTCCAGATGAAAGTCTTTTTGATACTTTTAGTAGCCAGTGCTTTTACCATCGCAACCTGCGATGACGAGGACAACACTACACTACTTATCGATCCCAGAGATATATCAGGTGAGTAAAATTTAACAATCATATAATTTAAATATGATTCATAATTAACTAAAAATTCTCCGTGGATACTAGGGTATAAATAATTATTATCTTTTTTGTATGTGTTTAAATATAAATATTTTAATTGTCATAGAGACTGATAGTGTTTCAGTTCCAACTGATCAAGTTACATTTTTAGTTAATTAGTGATTCAATGAATATTAGGCGTATAGTGATTGGACACTAACAAAAATTTTCTGAAAGGTACAGTTAAAGACAACATGTAATTCTTCATTTGCTATTCAGAAAGGTATAAAAATGAGAAGTTATTTCTCGAAATATCTCTGTAAAACGAAGCGATTTGCTCTTAAATTGCTCTGATAATTTTGCATTCGAAAAAAATAATATATATACTGAGTTTTGATGCCTATTTCAAAAGACATTTAAATGTCAGTAATGAAATTTAATCTTTCTACTTGTTGTGTAATGCTATATTTCGTTGTGTAATAAGGGCTTGTCATTCACGCGAATTGTTAGATTTTTGACGCAAAAGGTATTTAGCTTAACTTTCAAATTATAACAGCACGTCTCTTATCATTGTAACCAATCAAGCTATTTACAAACAACATGCATACATATAAAAATGTTTTTAGTTATTAATGATTAAATGTATTTGATAACATCTAATTCTCCATTTAAAATATAGCATCTGTAATTTTCATACAGATTGACATTATTGTGGAATTAAAACTATCATTTTTAATGCTACATACACTTACACTCCGCTATAACAAACTTTAAGAGACCAAAATTTTAGTTCGTTAAATCCGATGTGTAAAGATTGAATGAATAATAATAATAGTAAATAAATTAGATTTCAGATTTTACATTACGCCCAAAGCGGCGTGTTTTGAACATTTTGTGTGTTGCCTTTGTTTATTAATATCGTGTTCTTCGCACTTAAACCATAAAATTTAATTCGACAGCAATATAGCAAAATAATTTTTAAATGAGGATATCTTTAGATTTTCCGATACACAGTCTCGCGCGCTGTTAGATAAAAACTTTTACCCCGTACAGTGTTGCCATTGCTCGCTTTGAAATCGTTGAGTTTGTTAATCAAAAATTCGTTAAGTGTTACAAAATATGAAATCGATAATAAAACAAATTCCAAATTAGGTCTTTCAGATGTCCATATTCGGTGGAGGATTACGTTATTCAAAATCGGATGGCTCTAGCTACCGCTATTTTATCAGAATGCAAGATACATACATACATTTATTCATATTCTTCATTATTTAATTTCTTTAAATATAATACAAGGCGATATATTTGGTGACAACAATTTGAAAAGTGATTCGCTATTTATAGTTTTCAGCCCAATATGCTGAATAGTCCTTCAGGGTAAATTGCCTCTTTGGACTAAAAATCTGAAGGCTCTCAGATTTTACATTACACCCAAATGGGCATATTTTAACGTTTAGAGTGTTACCTTCATTTATTAAATTCAGGTTCTTCGCACTTAAACCACAAAATTCAGTTCAACAGCAATACCGCAAAATAGTTTTAAAATGAGCATATCTTTAGAATTTCCGATACACAGTTTCGTGCGCTGGAGATAAAAATATTTGTTTCTCCCGTATAGTGTTGTCATTGCTCGGTTTGAAATCGTTGAGTTTGTTAATCAAAAATAAGTAAGCAGTAAAATCGTTGAAGTAGTTCGGTCCAACTTACGAATCCCGGCGAACGGGCTGGCGGCATGCGTGTTTTCGTGATTTTCCGCATGTGTATAGTGTATACAGTATCTTCTGGATGCATACGTGAATAAAGCGGGCGCAGCCCGTGCAAAACCGCTGAACACTGGTAGTTCGGTCCAACTTTGGAATCCCGGTGAGCGGGCTGGCTGCATGGATGTTTTCGTGATTATACGCATGTGCAACGTATATGCAGTATTTTCTGGATGCGTATGTTAATAAAGCGGGGGGGGGGAGCTCGCGCAAAACCGCTGAACACTGGTAGTTCCGTCCAACTTTTGAATACCGGCGAAATTTAAAATGAAAACTCGAACACACAAACAATGAAACACCAATAATGAACACATGCACACGAACAATGAAAAGCGGGCTTCAGCCCGCTAGTCAAATAATATTAAGTGCATATTAAATTGGAAGGGACACAACGATTCGTTCGTTATAAGCCAAGTTTATTATAGCGGGTTTATTATACAAGTCATATAAACAAGTTTATTTTACAAGTATATAATGTAGTTTATTATATTAATTTGCTGCAGATTTGTCATTTAAACACTGCCTAGCAAGAAATTTGTCGCATTTTCCTTTCGGAATAATTCTTTAATACTCTTGGCACATGTTTTAAAACGTAGTTTTTAATTTACTAAATTACTTTTTGTATGTATGATTAACATCCAAAATAAAGTACGCAATATACATGTGTCTTTAATTTCAAGCGATGCATTTTTTTTATTATTTTCAGCTATCGAAGACAAACTGACAAGAATGGATTTTCTAGAAAAAGTTGTTGTAGTAGTATTTGGTTTTAAAAAAGAAAATGCAAGGTAAGCAAATTCAGACTTTTGTAGTATTTTGAAATATAGTTGAATTATCTCTTGAATGTGTAATTGTCAATTATCATGAGAAGTGGAAGAAAATAAATGTTTTACACAATTATCCTTACTTACCTTATCAATTATCTCTCAGTGCAAATTTGCGTAGTGTACTTTGGGAGGAGAGGCCAACTCTAGTTGATAACACTAAATGTTGCAAATCTCAGGGCTACAACGTGCAGGTTACAAATTAAATAATCACAGCAGGATTATTCATATAAAGATTTAATATGGATATCTCACACAAGCTGAAAACGTTACATTACTCTATCAAGTGCATGCATATAACTGATTGAAAAGGGAATTTCCCCGCTTAGTTCGCAGTTAAAGAATAATAATAATAATAATAAAAAATAGTCCAATCAGATGCGGCTCTCGACTTCGCTAAGCCGTTACGTAATCGTCTGTCTGCAGCAACCTTCTCCAACATTGTCCCCCCTCTTTGAGTCGACTTCAGGTTGGCAAGACATACAGTACCTGGTCGAAGAGATCTAATCTCTGAGGCACCTTGATCACACGTCCAAATCTTGACACTTTAGCACCTTGCAGGATGTTACTAAAGTCATTTGAAGAGTCATTAGAATCTGAATGCTCATCACTAGAAATAGAAGAAATACGATTAGTAAAAGCGTTATCGTGTATGGGATCAGTGGGCGTGTCCGTTAACTGCAATTCCAACGGAAAGACTTGCTGAATGGGACGAAGCAGCGTACCGGCTTGAGTCTTCAGTTCTACAGTTCTCACCTTGCCATCTTTCCCAGGAATTAGTCGAATGACTTTAGCTAAAGGCCAATGCATCCGTGTTTTGATGTCATCTCCTATTAGGACAATTTCACCCAACCGTAGCTCTGACGATGGATCCTTCTTATTTTGGACCAGAAGGCCTAAATATTCTTTCCTAAATCTAGGCCTTAAATCATTAAGTAGTTTTTGGCGATGTTTAGCCCTTTTTCGAAGACCTTTCGAATCGCAGAAATCAACATCAAGAACACCTAAGCTACGATTCTCGATGAGAAACATGGCTGGGGAAAGTGGGATTAAATCATCCGGATGTTCCGACAGATAGGTAAGAGGTCTAGAGGTAATTATTGACTCGCAGTCGCACAATACTGTGTACAACTCCTCGGTTGTAAGAAACGCGTTACCGAGTGTCCTTCTCAACAGTTCCTTTACTACACGAACTAACCTCTCCCACCAGCGTCTTGAAAGCATATCTGCCGGATTTAAATCACCTGGAATATGGCGCCAACACTGAGAAGGAATCAGACTGTGTATTTCTTTTACTCTATTCGCAACGAACACTGACCAATCACCACGGTTTTTAATCCACCAGATTGTACCATAGAATCACTCCATGCAATAATTTTCAAATCAGGCAAGTCTAAGGCGACGTATACTGAGTGAACCAGTCTCGCGCCAATGCAACAGGCCATCAATTCTAACCGGGGTACTGCCAGAGTTAACGGCGCTACCCTGGATTTGGCTCTGATCAATGGAATTTTGACTCCAACGGGCGTTACAGTTCTAATGCAAACACATTCACCATAGGAGCTCTTACAAGCATCAACGAATAGATGCAGCTCTGAATTCTCATTTATCTCTACATATCGTGGAATACTAATTTTCTCAAGATATTTAATTTTATCCTACCACTTCTGAAAAGTTTTCTGAATGTTATCTGGTAAGGGATCATTCCATTTTAATTTCATAGTCCAAGCCTCCCGTAATAGTAACTTAGGTAACATGGTAGGTGGACTCAAAAAACCCTGCGGATCAAAATTTTTATGTACCATAGCCAAAATATCACGCTTACTTATCTCATTATCCATTGAATAATTAAGATTACATTTTAATGTATCGTTATCCAAATCCCATAAGATTCCAAGAAGAGAAGTTGTACCTGAACTACGGGAAATACAATGACCTGGAACATTACTTTCCCAACCCCGTAGGTTAAAACATCCCCGAGCCATTACTTCTGTAGCCTTAACTATAAAATTTTCTTGCTGTTTGATATCGTGAACCCCAGTGACACAATTGTCAACACAAAACGAATGCTTTAATTTTTGGGTCACATCGTCAAACTCGGCAGGACAATTATCCAAGAGATGCTCTATTGATGCAAAGAGTTGGAACGGAGACGAACAAATGCCGAACACCACTCTGCAGTGCCTATAAATCATAGGTTCTTCAAGAGTTGGGAAAAAAAACCTCAAATAATCTCTATGTTCTGGGATAATACTCAGCTGAAGAAATGCTTTTTCTATGTCCGATGATAAACCAACAGAATACAATCTAAACCTGTCAATTATATCAGGTATGAGTTCAATTAAGTTCGGCCCTCTATTTAAACAATCATTAGGGGATGGCTGATTTCTCTCTCGGGCTGAAGCGTCGAACACCGGCCTTTATTTCATTGTCTGGCTAGTATGCTTTATAACAGGTCTATGGGGCAAATAATAACTCAAATTATCAATTTCAGTTTCAAGAATCTTTTCTATTATTTTTAGGTCTTCTCATTGCTTAAAAACTACCTTATAGTCATCTAACTGATTTTCCTCATTAATTCGTTGACACATTCTTTGATGCATTTTAAAAGTCATAGACTTATTGTTAGGTAAAAGAATTTCAGATTTAAAAGGTAGTGGCAATTCATATCGGCCATCAGGAAGAACATTTAAATTCTCTTTAAATTGCTTAACGGTGTCAGAGTGAGCAAGTTTACGTTTAACATCTTCAGTTGGATCTGTTATGCCAATGGCATCTAAATTCCAGAGTTCAGTTACGCTAAGATTAGCACAATGCAACGAAACTACATTATTCCACAAATTATTTTCTAGTAATGCTGGAATAGTAGCTGAAGTAGGTTCTTTAGATAAGCTGTTTATTTTACCAATCACAGTGTATCCGAATTTAGTCTCAACTACAGTTACACCCGAGTTCAGTTTCAGAGAACTGCTAGTAATAATGTCCCCAATGGCATCTGCTCCTAAAAGCAATTCAGTGTCATATTCTTTAGCTTGCAAATCAGACAAGGTAATATTTCTTTCTTTTAATTCTTTTAGGGTATTGGGATCAACTTCTTTTGGAACACATTCACATATTTTGTTCTGAGAAAGTACGTCAAAGTTATGGTTATAAGTGCCCTCAGAATTTCTTAAATTAACATCAAACACTAAATGGGAATGAGGACCTTGTCTCTCTCTCTCCCCCCCAAACAAACCGTGTATAATGGTTTCTCTCGATTTAGGACGCAGTTGCAAAAACGCGATAACCCTTTCTGAAAGATAAGATTTCTGAGAACCACTGTCCAAAATCGTACGAACTGTAAGTTGTCTACTCTCAAAAACTATTTGTAAAACAAGTGTTTGCAAACACACATTTGCATTAACAGTTGACTGATTAGACAATGCATTACTTGAAATAACAGTACTGTCAGTTTCATTTCGCTTTACAGGTTCACCATTTGAGCACATAATGGTATAGTGAAATTTAGCACATGTTAAACATTTTACTTTATTTTTGCTTGCCCGTGAACTATGTCCAACTCGTAGGCATAGAAAACAGGCGCGCTTTTGCACCAAAAGCTTTCGTTTATCTTCTAAAGACATTTTGCGAGCAGAGAAACATTCGGCAGAATTGTGGGATTTCTCACAAAAAGTACAACGTAAATTTCGCCTACCTGTATTGTCTTGAACATTTACTAAGGCAGCAGCTGTAGAGCAACCCAGATCATCACAATGTGGACGCGAATGTGCAGAACGTGAAGCTCCCAACCCGGTACGAGCGAGCTTAATCATTTCCTCACTTTGCACTTCGTTTCGAAGAAAGCACAAACGTTTATCCAACGAACGCGCACTATCTTGCTGTGACGCAGTATCTTCCATCGAGCGGCTTCTTTCCCACGCACGAAGAACAGTCTCTGGTAAACAGGACTCAACAAGTGGCTCTAAAAATTCTGCAAATTTTTCCTTAGTTCTACCGAGGCTTTCAAGTTCCATAAGCTTGCTCACAAGTAAATCATAAAGTTCAGCTAACTCTACTTTAATCCTACCAGCAGCATTTTTCATTACTACGGAAAGTAGATCCCGTACATAAATCTGAACCAAAAGTTCAACTCTCCCGAAGCGTTCTTTAAGTTGTGCAATGACCTTTGAATAGTTTTCTTTAGTTGGCGGAAAACTGGTTACCAGTCTTGATGCTGTAGAATCTGCTACCACACATTGTAACAGATTTTGAAATTTGTCTTCATCGACAATAGTGTTATCCATGTGGATTTTCTCAAAAGAAAACCAAAAAGCAAGAAAATCTTTCGGTTCTCCACTAAATTTCCTCAACTCAAGTTTCGGAAGTGACGAAGTCAGTACGTTGTTTCGGCAGATTCAAGACAAATTCACACGTTTGGAAACAACTCAAGAAGAAGTTTCGAGTTGTTTCCAAACTTCTTCTCGAGTTGTTTCCAAACGTGTGAATTTGTCTTGAATCTGCCGAAACAACGTACTGACTTCGTCACTTCCTAAACTTTTGTTTTCGATTTTCTGAGCTATATCGTTGCAGCATATCGTAAACGCTGTTCTCAGCAACTTTCGTTTTGCTTTCAAGACTTTTATATCCATATTTCATCCAAAAATATAAAGTAGCGGACGCCAAAATTTACTATGTTGCAACTCTCAGGGCTACTACGTGCAGGTTACAAATTAAATAATTACAGCAGGGATTATTAATATAAATATTTAATATGGATATCTCACACAAGCTGAAAACGTTACATTACTCTATCAAGTGCATGCATATAACTGATTAAAAAGGGTATTTCCCCGCTTAGTTCGCAGTTAAAGAAAAAATAAGAATAGTAAAAAGTAGTCCAATCAGATGCGGCGCTCGACTTCGCTAAGCCGTTACGTAATCGTCTGTCTGCAGCAGCCGTCTCCAACACTAAAAGATAAAATATG